ACATATAATTTCATTATTTCAGGTGATTGCTGAAGATATGAACAGCTTACTGCATAGATGTGGACCCATCATACATTGTTTATACAAGCGGATATGACAGTAGATAAGTCGCTCGTGAAAATCAAGCGAATTACAAACACGAGAACTAATTGAAAATGCATGTAACATTCCATGTAAAAAGTACGCGCGTACTGGAATATATATTAGATAATCAAAAAGGTCTTCTCCACGATAGAGGAAATGGATTTTGCTCAGGAATATCTCATGGAGAACCAAGACGACGACATCGATAATAAAACTGAGGAACTTCTCGAGAAATACGATTACTACGCAGCCTGCGTAGAGGAAAGCTTGGAAATAGTAATGCCTGCGCAATCTTCGCAATCTTCGCCACTATATTTATGCAGGATTATTTAAAAAATCTTTTTAGTCATTCTTCTTAAATATTTATACAAACTCATAACAACTGTGAAAGAAAACAATACAATTACGAAACTGACTCACAAATTTAACGATTAAAATGTTTAGGATATTAGGAAAATCGTACGAATTCATTAACACGTTAACTATCAACAGAGAAAATGATAACAACGTGTCAAAATTGTAATCCTGTAATAGTTCTTTTCTTTGTGCGTCCTTTTATCTTTTATAGTTAATTAAAAGATGTAAAAGAAGCGGAAAAGAGAACAAGAAGAAAAAGAAAGAGAAGAGAACAGAGAAGATGGAAAGAAATAAAGAGGAGACAGGAAGAGAATATAACACAAGCAAAGAGATGAATAGAGGGAAATATAGTAGTAAGGAAGAAAGAAGCATAAGGGATACATAATTATAATTACAATTATTTTAAAATATATATTTTTTAGTCATTCTCGGTAAAAATGCAGTATAACGCCCCCATCTTGGATTTTTTTTCGAACTTTGTAAATTTGTATATTTTTATGCGTAGAATTGATTTCTGAAAACAAAAATTGTCGCCTACTTTTCGTTTTCTTGTTTTTTTTATTTTTATGTTTCATGATGTCGGTAAGTAGGAAAGGCAAAGAATAGTTCATACATGCTTTTCTCTGCTTTAATCAAAAGCATAAACTGTCATCGTGGCAGAGTCGAGTGACAGTTCGTGCGTATTACGAGAAGTCTCAAGTGTGAGATCCGGAGTATAAATATGCGCTATAGAAAATCTCAGATTCAGTGTGTGCACGGATTGGTTTTCGATTTTACACGAAGTAGCTCGCTCTTACGAAACATTAATTGAACAGCATGAAGAGATTCGCATTTCTTGTTCTCGTCTTATCCGTTGCCGTTAAGTTTGTTTAAATAAAAAAACTATATATGTATAAAATAAAAATAACATAAAAAAGTCAATTGCTCTTCAATAATCTATAATGAATTGTAATATAACAATAATGATAATGTTTTGCTGAAATCGGAAATTTAATATATTTATGTCTTTAATATATTTCGTGAACATTTTAATTCATCTCAATTACATGATTATAAGGCTTTCTAATAAAAAATAATAAAAAATATACATTATGTCCGGTAACTCACGGAGAAGCCGCGGTATACTGGTAGATTAAATACGATTTCATTATTTCAGGTTATTGCCGATGACAAGAACAGCCTAAAATATAACAGACTCTTACAGATATGTTTACACAAAGCGCATATGATAGGAGGTAAGTCGCTCGCGAAAATCAAGCGAGTTACAAACGAGAGTTTATTGAAAATACATGTAACATTCCATGTAAAAAGTACGCGCGTACTGAAATATATATTATATAATCAAAATAATCTTCCCCACAATAGCAGAAATACAGTTTGCACAGAAAATTCTCATGAGAATATGACAACATCATCGATAATACTAAGGAAATTCTCAAGAAATACGGTTACTTCGCAGTTTGCGTAGAGGAAGATAAACGAATGGTAATGATTGCGCTTTCGCAATCTTCTCTACTACATTTATGCAGGATCATTTAAAACACCTTTTCATACATTCTTCTTAAAGGTTTATGCAAACTCATAACAACTGTGAAAGGAAAATAATATAATTATGAAACTAAACCACAAACTTGACGATTGAAATGTTTAGGATATTAGGAGAATCATACGAATTTATTAATATGTTATTTATCAATTATATAAAAAATGATAACAAAGTATCAAAGTTGTAATCCGTTTTTGTGATGGCTTTGCGTTAATATTTGCAAAAGTAAGAAAAAATTAGAAACATCAAACATTTACATCATATTAAGAATGCTCTGTCACATTAAGTCTTAATTCCGTCGTATTGCGTTTCGTAATAATTCCAGATAAAAGACTCGAAATTGGTCGTGG